ATACATCATTTGGATTAATTTTTAACAGTTCATTAAAATCCTTTAATGCATAGCTATATCTGTTAAGCTTACAGTGTATGTCTCCTCTCTTTTTTAATGCTAGTTGGTCATCTGGATCAATTTGTAATACCTTATTGAAATCATTCAATGCATTTTTATATTGTTGAAGTTTGAAATAGATATCTCCCCTAACATTCAATGTCCATGTATCATTCGGTTCAATCCTCAATGATGTATCAAGATCAGCTAGAGCCTTGGTATGCATTTCAAGCTTGAAATAAACGTCTCCTCTTCTACTCAATGCCCACGCATTGTTTGGTTCAATTTCCAATGACATGCAGAGATCATTTAAAGCATTGTCATACTGTTTAAGCAGACGATAAACATCTCCTCTTTTACTCAATGTCCATGGGTTATCTGGTTCAATTTCCAATAATTTATTAAAATCTGCCAATGAATTTTCATACTGGTCAAGTGTGTAGTAGGTGTCTCCTCTCATTTTTAATGCTAACAAATTGTCTGGCTCAATCTCTAATGATTGGGTAAAATTATCCAATGCGTCATTATACTGATCAAGCATATAATATACTTCTCCTCTTGTTCTCAATGTTGACACATCCTTTGGCCTAATTTCTAGTGATTTATTAAGATCCTTTAATGCACAATTATACTGATTTAGTATGAGGTAGACATCTCCTGATCTACTCAATGTCCATGCATCATTTGGCTCAAGCTCTAATGATTTATCAATGTCATTCAAAGCATCATTGTATTTTTCAAGTTGGTAGTATACAGCTCCTCTTACGCTCAATGCCCAAATATCATTTGATTCAAGCTCCAATGACTTGCAAAGATCATTTAATGCATCATCAAATTGAGCAAGCATAAGATAAACATGTCCCCTTATTTTTAACGCAAACGCATTGTTTGGTTCAATCTCTAACGAATTACTGAGGTCATATAATGCATAGTTGTATTCTTTAAGCATGAAATAAGCTTTGCCCCTTCTATACATTGCATCTGCATCACTTGGCTTAATCTCTAGTAATCTGTTGAAATCAGTCAATGCTTCTTCATATTGATTAATCATCAGATAGATATCTCCCCTAATACACAATGCTAGTGCATCATCTGGTTCAATCTCTAATGACTTGTTGATATCAACTAATGCGTCATCATATCTGCTGAGTCTGTAATAAATATCTCCCCTTGTTTTCAATGCAAAAGCATTATTTGGTTCAATTTCCAATCCCGCGTTGAGATCATTTAACGCATCATTGTGCTGACCAAGTCGGCAATATACATTCCCTCTCACGCTTAACGTCCACGTATCTTTTGGTTCAATCCTCAATGATTCGTTGAGATCATCCAATGCATCATCACATCTTTCAAGTTTACTGTAAACGGCTCCTCTTACGCTCAATGCCCATGCGCTATCTGGTTCAATTTCCAATAAATCGTTTAAATCGTCGAGTGCATTGTCAAATTGTTCAAGCAAACGATAAATGTCTCCTCTTCTACTCAACGTGTATACCTTGTTCGGTTCGAGCTCCAGTAACGTATTGAGATCGCTTAATGCATCATTATATCGCTTGAGCGTGCAATAAACGTCCGCTCGTTTCGTCAACACGGATACATTGTTAGGCTCAATCTCCAAAGACTTGTTAAAATCGCTCAGCACATTGTCATGTTGACAAAGTTGATAATAGACAAATCCCCTTATACTCAAGACCCATGCGTTATCCGCTTCAATCTCTAGCGATTTATTGAGATCGATCAATGCGTCGTCATACTGTCCAAGCCTGTGGTATATATCTCCTCTTATGCTTAATGCCCAAGCGTCGTTCGGCTCAATTTCCAAAGATTTATTAATATCGTTCAAAGCATGGCTATATTGATTGAGTCTGTAATAGACGGCTCCCCTCACACTCAACGCCCACGCATTCTCTGGGTTAAGCTCTAACGACTTGTCAAGATCGTTCAACGCACTGTTGTATTGATCGAGCATGCGGTGAATGTCACCCCTTATGCTCAATGCCCACGCATCGCTCGTGTCAATCCCTAGCGACTTGTCGAGATCACTTAATGCGTCATTAAAGTCATTGAGTATGTAATAAATGTTTGCTCTTGTTTTCAATGCTAATGTATCATTAATGTCAACATTCAATAGTTTATCGAGGTCATTTAATACAGCATAATACTGTTCAGGAGTGTAACCGGAATCTTCTGATCCCATTTCACCGTTTACTTTGTTCAATAATGAGTCATTGTCATCATCCAGAATATGAGCCATCTTGCCAACAGAAACAACAATAGCAACGGTGATATTGCATTGTTATGGTGCGAATTAATAGGCTGCAGCCAGCGATAGGTACACAAAACGTTTTGGGCGTAGTAGCATTTATGGTGAAACAATAGATAGCACATGAACATACGTCATACTGCAGGTTCATACAAAATTCTATTTAACTTCGCTCGTAGTTACGGAATATTAAATGTATGCAATACTCTGTTTATTGAAAAAACACTTGCGCTAATTGCAGCATCGAAATAATGAGAAAATACATAGTGACAATGTTACGCATGTATACAACTGGAAGCAATCCCAGTAGAAAAAGAGAGAGCACACATAAGTAGTAATCGAGCTTGCTCAATCAAAATATGTATTTAAATATCCGCCTACGAGACTTTTTATTCTAAACAACATTGTTAAAAACAACAAAAATTCTCAAACTACAATGCAGAAATTTACTTTATTTTTGAATTAAACCGTTTAATTCGACCACCGTTTAAATTTATAAGTGATTTAATTCAGACTGTTTTAATCTGACCGTTTATAGTTTGATGTAAACGATTTGAGGCCATATTTTGAAAACCGGACAGAACATGAGCGTTGACGTTTGCCGATATTCTGTTAGCGAAGGAGAGGTTGTGTAATGCAAAATTAAGTATAGATTAATGTTTAATAAGATAATAAAGCGTTGTATCTGAGTTGGGAAACCTGTTTCAGTTCAGAACACAGTTGTCTCTGGTCCTCAATTGAGATACAACAACGTACGCAATTTAAAATTAAATTATTACAGTGATTTTTATTTTCATAATTAGCATAATTCTAGATTTCGTTCGCAGTGTATAACAAGTAAGCTAATGTCAATACAGGCAAAGGTATAGAAACAAATTCTGGAAAAGACTAACTACAAAAAAATAGTCGATATTCCACTTACTATTAACGTGAATTATATGGATGGAACAAATCTGGTGTCAATAACCACGACACCACAAAAGACTTTTCATGTATTCGCATCAATTTCGCAGCAGCCAGATTACCAAAAGTTTGTAAAGCCTTGAAAGATATCAAAAGTATCTTACAGATAGAAATATGTTTGTCTTATGATAACTAAGTAACTCGTTAACTTGTATATATTGACACTGTTTGAGCGTAGCTTTCAACGACAGAATCAACAGTAATTGATCAGAATTTATGCCTTAGTTTCATACGTTAGTTCGCGATTAATATATTACACGTAACAGGATAGTCAATACAATTATATATTATCGAAAAGCAGATACTAAATTTTATTGATCTAATAATCGTTGTTCGCTGATGGATAATACATATACAGTCCATTAACGTTCTATGTCGTAATAAATAGAAACGTCTTTAACAAATAACGTTCCTCCCAAGCGTTCCCTTACTATTTTACCAGGAGGGGCACATTAATTTGACAGATCTGGCTTGCACCGGGTAATTAAACGTGTTGACGCCAGAACCGATGAAAACAAGGCCATTGCAGTTATAGTCATTGTAAAGTTCATAAGTGACGTCGTTAGGTGCGTTGATTACGCTGATAGGATCTGTAGAATCGGCTCCGTAGCAGCCAGATTGTCCACTGAATGTATGAGTAAATTGACCTTTGAGAGCTAAGGTAGAGCGGAAATTTTCGATTAATACACGAACACCTTTACATCACGAGCAAGCACTTATAAAATTTTATGTTACTTACTGATGGTGCATGGTTGAGCATAGGATGCGGCGGCCAAACTGGCGATCATGAATGCGAAGATTGCTTGGAATTTCATTTTGCTTATTTGTTTTGCTTGTGAGTGAGTTTAAAAAGAAGTGAATTGCGTGTGTGTGTGCAAGTGTTCACGATAAAATGTGTGAGCTGGTTGATGGTTACGACGAAGGAGAGACACGCCTCTTTTTATAAGAACTTTGGATGCTGTAAAAATAGAAAGTTTTTCGCAGAGAAGGGTTTATAGCATATAACTATTTTTCAAGCTTTCCGTCCAAATCAGCCATTGACGCAGCAATAGCTAAGCCATGTTTTGCGGGAAAGCGTCCCAGGACCTACATAGCGAGTTAAAATTTAGCACAAGTCATGATAGCAATTTTTAAAAATAGCGTATTTCTGATAGGGGTAAAGTTACACGGGCTTGTACATTCTTATTAAGAAACTGGGACCAAAATTGCTCTAGCACTTTTTGCATAGCCCGGAAGTTCATTAATAGTAATTAATATTAATATTAATGTTAATGCCGGATTTGGATCGTCACATAACAATAATTCCCATACACCATCTGGATGATGTAAACGTAATACGCTTTTAACCCGAAACAGCCAAATGCCAGAAGCATCAGTTCTGGAACCAAGACCAGTCAGTCCATTTGTGCAAAAAGACGTTGAAAAAAACGATTAAACTGATTTTCTAAAAACACGCCTCGGTTCTGGACCGAACTGTCTTGCATATAGAATTGTATAATTAGCAAATTGTTGGCAACCCATCAATCGATGTTAATCCGTATTTAGACCAAATTGGTTGACAAGTTGGGCTGCTGCCTGCGTAGAGTTGTATGTCACGCCACATTGGGCGGGCGTAAACCGTGAATCAAGTGATATGTCGATCGGTGTTTGCACTATCGCTAAGTAACTTTCACAAAGATGTGTCGATCAATATCACGGGAACGGGCATACACTTCCCTTGGATTGGACATTATACCAGAGAAGACAATATCACTTCGAACAGTTGTATTAGCACAGAGCATAACTGAAGTTATTTCCAACGCTAATTGTCATCCAAATAACAATAAATGCGCCAACAGGCACTAATTAGCTGCAGCATCTTTCGGTTTATAAACTAATGCTTTGTTACGGTTCGCGATTCAATTAACATAAGTTATTTTTTCAAAGATTAGAGCACGTGCGATCTGGTACTACGGTTGTAATGACTTGCGTAACATGGTCAATGCATTTCTGGCGAAATCGTCCATCTGTGCTCGGTGCAACTGTCGCGACCAGTGAAAAGTCTTACTTCTGCTGGCTTATCAAGAAAATTTGAGCAATCGCAAGGAAGTATGCATCAAGTTGATTTAGTCAAGACAAAATGATATCTTCAGAAGATTAAACGTTATTCATGCTTAAACTGTTTCCATAGTCTCCCCATCCTGGTTGGACATTCAGCGTTCTAAAAACTCCTGATACTACTACCATTGCGTAATATATTACTTGCATGCTGTGACAACATTATTCTTACCACCCGTTAGTCGATGCGCACATTCAAAACGATATAATCAATGCTGCAACGGGAAAAGGCATATCCGCAACCTCTTCGACTGCGTCCTCGACATCGGATAACACTAAATGTCGGAAATTGCCAACGACGAGACAGAAATCGCCTTTCGGAACAAGCTCAGGTCCCCGTCTTTAAAGTCAATGTTAGATCCGATTGAAGCTGCCATACCATGTCTGCAGAAAACTTGTTGGACCCGTTTATAGACATCGACGGAAGATGACATTTCGCTGACGTCTTATCTACCCAGTGACGAAAAAGAGGCAAAGAGGTCGTTCGAACGGCACTACTCTTATAAATTGGTATGGGCAATAACTTTTCTGCTCCTGTATCTAATGAATTGTCACTCGAAGCTAGAATACTCGATATCGGGTAAAATCGCCAACACATTACATCAATCACACACGCAAACACACTTTCGGAATTTACGTTTTCTAGCGTCATTAAAAATATCACTCATACAAATCATTTCCCATCTTCTGTTTTTTTCCCCCAACAGATGTAATTCAGGAGCATGGATTTTAGACATGTCGGCTGAATATCGTTTCTCAACGTTCGTTGGAGTAGATATCGCTCCTCTGTTCCCCGAGAAAAGTCCAGACAACGTAGTGTTCATTAGATGTAACGTTCTCGATGGCCTACCGTTTCCCGATTACACGGATTTCTTAATTGGCAGGACTGGAAGGAAAAGCTGGTAAAAGGAACTAATTAGAGTGACCAAGCCTGGAGGTTATATTGACACAACTACAAAAATTGCGATGGGGTCAGTTAGCATATTTAAAAATTGAAGAAAAAAACTGCCGCATACGGGAGGTAAAAAATTTACTTGTGACGCAACACGAGCCATCGGATGCGAAGAGACAGGTCACTGAGAACTTTGGCAACTGGACTGACAGCAAACAAGTAGTGTCGACGTGTCGTGTCTAGGCTTGCAGAATTTACTCTTTCAAAATACAGTCAACTGCTGATAATTCGATAATTCGATTTCGCCTGGGCTCTAAATCTGGGTACGGCTTCGTTAATTATGGATATGGATTTGGAGTATAGGCAGCCGGGTGTGATTGCCTAAAAGGATGCAAGATTGCTGCAAATATATTCTGTCCCAGCGACTATGGATTTCGTGAACAATTTTTCCGTTATCATGCGCTTACTTTTTTCTTTTTTCTATTTCGCAATCATAGTGATACCTCATATGACGAATGCTGGAATCAATACTCGATCCAGTAGAAATGTTTTGAAAGAGTTTGGTAAATTCAAGGGTGTGGTAACCGTTGCGCCAATAGAAAAAAGACAAGTCAAATTTGAAAGTTGGGCGAGAAACCTGGGTAAATTGTTAAGTGATTACAAATCGCGCGCTTGCTAG